CTCCCCAGTTTATCCCAGTCCATTTTAACCATTCCCAGTTTGTTTTAACTCATTCCCAGTATAAACCAGTACAAACCAGTATAAACCAGTACAAACCAGTACAAACCAGTATAAACCAGTATAAACCAGTATAAACCAGTATAAACCAGTATAAACCAGTATAAACCAGTATAAACCAGTATAAACCAGTAAAAACTCACAGATTTGGGCATTTCCAGTCTCCCAGTTTATCCCAGTCCATCCCAGTCCATTTTAACCATTTCCAGCCCGTTTTAACCCATTCCCAGTCCATTCCAGTACAAACCAGTACAAACCAGTATAAACCAGTATAAACCAGTCCAAACCAGTATAAACCAGTATAAACCAGTATAAAACTCACGGATTTGGGCATTTCCAGTCCCCCAGTTTATCCCAGTCCATTTTAACCCATTCCCAGTTTGTTTTTAACCATTTCCAGCCCGTTTTAACCCATTCCCAGTACAAACCAGTATAAACCAGTATAAACCAGTAAAAACTCACGGATTTGGGCATTTCCAGTCTCCCAGTTTATCCCAGTCCATTTTAACCCATTCCAAGTTTGTTTTTACCCATTTCCAGCCCGTTTTAACCCATTCCCAGTCCATCCCAGTATAAACCAGTACAAACCAGTACAAACCAGTACAAACCAGTATAAACCAGTATAAACCAGTACAAAACTCACGGATTTGGGCATTTCCAGTCCCCGGCTCTCTGCTGTCCCCCTCCCCAGTCCATCCCAGTCCATTTTAACCATTTCCAGCCCGTTTTAACCCATTCCCAGTACAAACCAGTATAAACCAGTACAAACCAGTATAAACCAGTATAAACCAGTATAAAACTCACGGATTTGGGCATTTCCAGTCTCCCAGTTTATCCCAGTCCATTTTAACCCATTCCCGGTCCATTTTAACCATTTCCAGCCCGTTTTAACCCATTCCCAGTATAAACCAGCATAAACCAGTACAAACCAGTATAAACCAGTATAAACCAATACAAACCAGTACAAACCAGTATAAACCAGTATAAACCAGTACAAACCAGTATAAACCAGTATAAACCAGTAAAAACTCACGGATTTGGGCATTTCCAGTCCCCGGCTCTCTGCTGTCCCCCTCCCCAGTTTATCCCAGTCCATTTTAACCATTTCCAGTCCGTTTTAACCCATTCCCAGTACAAACCAGTCCAAACCAGTCCAAACCAGTACAAACCAGTATAAACCAGTATAAACCAGTACAAAACTCACGGATTTGGGCATTTCCAGTCCCTGGCCCGTTGCTGTCCCCCTCCCCAGTTTATCCCAGTCCATTTTAACCATTTCCAGCCCGTTTTAACCCATTCCCAGTATAAACCAGTACAAACCAGTCCAAACCAGTATAAACCAGTATAAACCAGTATAAACCAGTATAAAACTCACGGATTTGGGCATTTCCAGTCCCCTGCCCGTTGCTGTCCCCCTCCCCCGCTGCTGAAGCCGCCTCTGCCCCCGGAGCCTCCGGAGCCGAAGCCGCCGCGACCCATCGGACCTGGAGCGAGGATTCGGGGTGAAAAAACGGGAATTTGGGAAAAATGGGAAAAAAAAATTAAAATTATGGAAAAAAAATCGGGAATTTTGGAGAAAAAT